TCGTAAGTGTGAAAAACAGTCACAAGTCTCTTTTTTCAGTGCAGTTGTGACTTTGAACGGTCCCTAAATAATCAGTTGTAAGTAGAGGACTGTCTGTAATTAGGAAAAACTCTGCCCTGCCCTTCACCCTTTGGCCGTAGAGGTGGTCCTCGACTTATGACTGATCCTTTAGTGACCATGCAAAGTTACCATGCACCTCTGCAGGCTACTTACGACCCGGATTTGAAGTTCTGACGTTCCTTTATGTGGTTGTTAAACGAGCACATTGTTGGCACTCGGCCACCAGCCTGCGTTATGGTTGCAGATGGTCCTCGACTTACAACAGTTCATTTAGTGACCATTCAAAGTTATGACAGCATTGAAAAAAAAGTGACATGACCGTTTTTTACACAACGACCGTTGGGGGCCTGCCCAACGGTCACGTGATGGAAATTCAGACTCTGAGCAGCTGACTCACATTTACGACGGTCGCTGTGTCCTGGGGGGTCCAGATTCACTTAACAACCGGGTGACTCACTTAACAACTGTAGTGATTCAACAACTGTGCGGCAAGACAAGTTGTAAAATGGGGCAAAACTCATCAGTCTCGCTTAGCGACAGAAATGGGCTCAAATGCCATCGTAAGTCGAGAACTGTATTTGCAGCATCACAAAAGGCATATGAGCACAATTTAGGTTTTTTTTTTTCTGGAAACCAATTATTTACTTCCTGTTTCCAAACCAAAAAAATGCCCATTGCGGACAATGGATCCACTTAACGGCCACAGCGTTCGCTTAGTGACTGTAGAGATTCACTTAATGACCGCCTCAAAAAAAAAGATCGTAAAATTAGGTGTGGTCCCGCGGTGACCCGCTTAACAACCGGCACGGTTTACAATTACCACTCCAGGCCTGTTCCATAACCGTCGTAAGTCAAGGACTCCCCTGAATATTTCCTTAAAAGTTCTCGCAAGCTCTGGTCGCTAACGTGAAAGGCAAAAGTTCCTAGAAAAGGGGGGGTCTTGTTGGGTGGGGTTTTTCTCTACATTGCAGCCGGGCAAGCCGTGTCTGCTCTGGAAAGCCCACCACCCGCAGGGCAGCCTTGCTTTGGGGGGGGCGGTTCCGGGTGCAAGTGGCGGGCTCCCCTTTCCGCCTTGACCCTTCCAAGATTGCAAAAGTCTTACAACATCAGGGTCATTGCAGTATTTAACGAGGGCACAAAAAGATTGCAGTAAATCAGAGTTTACTCTCTTCCCCCCCCCCGGGTGAAAGGGGACAGAGCAGGTTTGTGGGGGGGGGGAGGGTGTCCCTTCTCTCCACCCATTTCACTCTCTCTTGTAGCCCTTGTCCCAAGGAGACAACAGAGTAACAGAGTTGGAAGGGACCTTGGAGGTCTTCTAGTCCAGCCCCCTGCTCACGCAGGAGACCCTAGACCAGGGGTAGGCAATCTTGGCTCTTTTATGACTGGTGGACTTCAACTCCCAGAATTCCTCAGCTAGCATGGCTCAGCTTGGAAACCTCTCCCTTTCCCCTCAGCATGGCTGGCTCAGGAATTCTGGGAGTTGAAGTCCACGAGTCATAAAAGAGCCCAGGTTGCCTACCCCTGGCCTAGGGTCTCCTGCTCAAGCAGGGGGTTGGACTAGAAGACCTCCAAGGTCCCTTCCCACTCTGTTATTCTATATTATAGTTCAGGGGTAGGCAACCTTGGCTCTTTTATGACTCGTGGACTTCAACTCCCAGAATTCCTGAGCCAGCCTGGCTCAGCTTGGAAATCTCTCCCTTTCCCCTCAGCATGGCTGGCTCAGGAATTCTGGGAGTTGAAGTCCACGCGTCATAAAAGAGCCAAGGTTGCCTACCCCTGGTCTAGAGGGATAGAGGTGGGTGGCAGATGTTTCCATTGTCTTCTCCAGTGGTGGGACCTCAAGTGGAGTCCCAGGTCTTCTTCTGGCAGCATCCGTGGAGGAGCTTTCAGAGATGTAGGAAGGGGTCCAGAAGACGGTGAGGAGAAGACAGAAAGTCCTCAGAAGGGCTGAGCCTGGAGAAGAGAAGATGTAGGAGACCTCTCTTCAAAAGATCTCAAGATCTTCAAGACTTCTTCGATGTCCTTCCAGAGAGAAGGACACGGGAGGAGGATTTGAAGACCCACGAAGGTGGATTCCCACAAAACGTCAGGACAGGCTGTCCTGGATGGAGAAGAGGAGAAAAGAGTCAAGGAGACCATCCCTTCTCTGAATTCATTCAAGCATCTCTTTGGGGATGCTTGCATTTGGGCAGCGGGGTGGGGGTGGACTGGATGACCTTGGTGGTGCCTTCCAACTCTTAAGGTTCCAAGTCGGGTTTTTCAGTGCAGTTGGATGCAGCAACGGTTGTAAGGGTGAGGATTGGTTGTAAGTGCGAGGACCTGCCATAAGTCACTTTTTTCAGTGCCGTTGTAACTCCGAAATGGTCGCTAAACGAGTGTTTGTAAGTCGAGGACTATTTTTTTTCCTATCAAACAGCGACTGTCAAATGTTTTTTTTCCCCCAGCCTTCATTCTGATAAATTATTTTTTTTTCCAACCAGGACATCTTCAAAAAGCCTTTTTTTTGGGGTGGGTGGGGGGAGAGAAATCAGTTGCCTCTTTGCTCCGAATGTCGCAATCCACCTTGTATTCCCCCCCCAACACACACACACACACACACACACACTCTGTTCTTCTTTTTCTGGTCTTTTTTTTCTCTCTTTGTTTTCTTTTTCTGAATCGCCCGGCCTGGCACGCTCCGATTTCCGCAGGCTGTGTAAACCCTTTGTGTGCCTAAATCCTTAGCCTGCGGGCACGAAGCACACAAGAGACGGTTGCACAATCCCACATTGTCGCGCTTCAAAAAAAAAAAAAAAGAAGGCTTAAGACTCGTGGGGGAAGGGGATGGATGCCTGGGCTTTGGGGCAACAGCCGCACCCACAAAATTTGGGAAGCGAAAAGAGTTTTGGGGTTTTTTCTTTCCCTTTTGTTCTTGCAATTCCAGGGGGGACTCCCCTGATTTTTTGGGGGGGGGGGGGGGAGGAAGGAGTGTCCGACAACCTTGGCCCGGGGCTGTGTTTTCCCAGCTGCCGGCCACCTTCCCGCCCACGGGCACCTCCTGCCAAGGGACCTTATCTGGACAGGGTGCCCGGGGGGGTGGATTGACGCGTTCCTGCCAGCCCTTTTGTGTGGGGGGCTGGTCCGGGACGGGCATCCATGTGCAAACAGACACGGCGTTCCCTGAAAGGGCCGGCGGGCACAAGCAGCCCCGTGGGCAGAGGGGGGGGGACGGTGTGGGGGCCAGGGGCTTTCCAAGGGCTTGGCATCCCCTGGCAGAGTGGGGGGGGGGCATCGTAAGGTATGTGGCAGTGTTTTTTTTTTTTATGGGCAGGTTTGGAAGCTTATGGAGTAGTCGCCGTGCTGAGATAAAGGGCTGGTGGATTTCCTCTGCCTCTTCTTCCTCCCTTTTCTTCTTTCTTCTGCCACTCCCTCCTTCTTCTGCGTTTCCTTCCCCCCCCCCTATTTCTTCAGCTCCACCAGCCCTACTCCTCTTCCTCCAGGAGCATCCAGTCTCCTCCTCCTGCTCCTGCTCCTGCTCCTTCGCCACCAGCATTCCTTCTCCTCCTCCGTTTCCTTCCCTTCTTCCTTCTGGTTTTCCTTCTCCTCTTCCTTCTCCTCTTCCTCGTATTCCTTTTCCTTCTCCTCTACCTTCTCTTTTACCTTCTGCTCCTTAATTTCTCCTTCCTTCCTTCCTCCCTCCCTCCCTCCCTTTTTCTTCCTTGTTCCTATTTCCATCTCCCTCCCTCCCTTCCTTTCTTCCTTCCTCCCTTCCTCCCTCCCTTTCTTTCTTCTTTGTTCCTATTTCATTCCTTCCTCCAAACCTCCTTCCTTCCTTCCTTCCCTTCTCCCTCCCTCCCTCCCTCATTCCTTCTTTTCTTCTTCTTCCCTCTTTCCTTCCCTCTTCCCTCTCCCTCCCTCCCTCATTCCTTCTTTTCTTCTTCTTCCCTCTTTCCTTCCCTCCTCCCTCCCTC